AGAGAGAGAGAGAGAGAGAGAGAGAGAGAGAGAGAGATTCTGCGGTATTTTATAAAATTATAAAATCTAATAAAATTTATCACAAAGCTAAACAACATAAAACAGATTAAGTGTATTAAAAAATACAGGAAATTAAAAACTAAAACAATAAAAAACTAAAAATAAATTTCACATTTCTTGACAGAAAAGTAGACCTCAAATATTTTTAGTAATAAATAAGTGCTTACTTTGTGCGAAGCCATTGAATTTACAGATTACAGGGCCCAACACATACAGGGGCTCAGTTAGATGATTGACCAGATGTGTCCACATACAGCACACGCATATCAGCACATCGGCCACTGCCAAGTTTGCTAGGTAATAGTTTATCCTATAATTGTGTTTAAATAAAACATTTTAATTAAATGTCATGTCTTGTTTTATTAAATAAATATGTAAAATGGCTTATATGTTCATGGTTTAAAATAAATAGTCAATCTACATCTAGATTCTAGATGCCTATGCTTTAACATTAGCCAAGTCTCCTATGGAGACTTCATTGCCGATCAGTAGTTTAATAGTAGTTCTGTTTTTTTATTAATAGTGAAAATTAATATTTTAGAATAACCATTATATAAGAACATTTCATAATTTATTACATGATCATTTTTTATGTAATAATTACTGTATTAATTAATACAATACATGATAAATCTTGAGTAATCTTAACATAAAATAATTTGGATATAAATCAAATAATATTATGGAAATGTTGTAATATTATTGCAACATAATTGAAACATTAGATTCTTTATGATAATTTTTTAAAATATTTTATCAGTAATTATATATTGTTACTAAAAATAGCAGAATTGGTTTATTTCGCACAGAATATTTCACATTCAAACAAAACTAAATATTTCACAATAAAAACAAACAATTAAACCAACATTTGATTGTTTTATAATTAAATTAACCTCACAAAACAAACTTAACCTGTTGTCTAAAAATTAATTCAATTATACAAGTAATACCATTAGAGTCAACAACAAAGCTATACAAACAAAAAATACTTGAAATGACATTTAAAAAACACTCCCACTTATGAAATGAAAAACTACACCAAAAAGCAAAACACAAAAAATTAAAAAACAATAAATCAATGAAAAAAAACATAATAATCACGTGATTCTGAGAGACGTGTTGAGGGCTACGGCCAGAATGACACCGATATTGCCGACCATAACGGCTGCGATGGCCACCACATAGAGCGCAATCTTTGTGTACTCACACCACGTGAATGGCCGTGGGTTGAGGTACTCCCGGTTCGGGAAATTAAACTCTTTAAAGTCAAAGTTTCCCATTATATCGTATGTATTGGCACAGGAGTTACCATCACCGCCACCGCCGACCATATCATTGCCATCGATGGCGTAGTCACTCATGTTTGTTATATTTGTAGCCAAAATGTCTTTTAATATACTATCCATTTTGTCCCGTATAATGTTGTCTATTATTATATGTCTAATAATTTATACAATTATTAATTGATTAAATATATTATTACTTGTTGTTTTGATTAATAATTTTTGTGATTGTTAATTTGGCACATTATGCTGAAACACATGTTTAAATTTAAACAGGGACATTTATAAATTTTTTAATATAGAAACTAATCACTTAAAATAATAGTTTTAATTATAGCAATGGGATCATCATTAGGTCTCTCGCACTGTAAACTTGTTTTTTGAAACAAAAATAAATTTTGTTATTTGTTTAAATGAAGAGAAAACTTTCATTTATTATAATTTATAATTATTATTAACACAAAACTTGTAAATAATTTATTTTTCCAAAAATGTTTAAAAGTCGTCAGAATTTCTAAAAAGAGATAAAAGATTAGTCGTTGAAAAGTATACATAAAATTGTTTTAAAATTAATTTCTCTAATTTTACTTTAATGTCATCTCTCTCTCTCTCTCTCTCTCTCTCTCTCTCTCTCTCTCTTATATTTTGGAGCCTTTATAATTCTCGAGATTAATGAGTAATCATATAAGTAAGTGCTTTGCTTATAATGACAGCCAGTGTTGTTCAGAGAGTGTTTTGTTGGCCGTCAAAATTAATATCACTTTATAAATACAACTACAGTATACTTTATACTTGTATACTTTATATAATGTATTATTATATAAATATATTTCAAAAAGTCTTACCATACAATCCAAATATAAAGTTGACTAAAACTATATATAACTTTGACGGCCAACAAAACACTCTCTGAACAACACTGGCTGTCATTATAAGCAAAGCACTCACTTATATATACCGTATGTATAACAGAGTATACGACAGAATATTCTTGCGTTTCAAAGCTTTTCATCTCTGTTGTAGTGTTAAATAGAGCGCAGAATCGGCACAACAATTATATTCATCGCAATTTTCCCACTCTTTCTCTGCACTCACTTATAAATTATAAGTAAACGTCCGGTGAATTAATGTCTTATAAAATACATGGTATGTTTTAAATAACATCCACTACTATTTGGTCCACTAATTGTATGCATTGGTTAATACTTACTGTCTGAGTGCTGAGTGAATTGGGTATTCTCTATGTCTAAAGCCTCTATTTTTTGGGAATTCCCGATTAAATTTAGTTGCTTTATATAGAATTATAAAGGCTCCAAAATATAACATTTTAATTATTTATTATTCTTAACATAAACTGAGTTTATTTGAATAAATACATAAAATTAACTTTTCGGGAGTTATTACAAAATATGCCAAAATCGGGAAAAAATTAAAATGATATATTTTGGAGCCTTTATAATTCTCGAGATTAATGAGTAATCATATAAGTAACGAATTTTAACGGGAATTCCCGAAAAATAGAAGCTTTATCATGTCTGATCATTATTTTCAATACCAATGCACATTCTCTCTCTCTCTCTCTCTCTCTCTCTCTCTCTCT